CAGGCAGGAAAACTAACCTATAGCAAAATGTTAGTGTCTGTATAAATTCAGCTTTTCATGTTAGCCTGAAAGGTTGTCATTCTCCATCCAATGAGCAGTTGAAACGTTTTGATTCCTGGAATTTAAATGGCACACTTTGGTATTCTGCTTTTATGTCAGGGGATCTTCTTTCAGCTCTCAGTACCACAGGGGAAGTCTGTGAGAAATCCACAAATGTGATCTGAGCCGAAGTCATGCTTTGGGGATCACTCATGCCTCTTTGTAAAAGACAACAAATAAGGCTGGCTGAGGACAGCTGGTCTGTGGGAGGTGATTAAGGAAAGCAAGTCTGTATTTACTATGCAGTGTCTGAGCAAATGGCATTTCTCGCATGGGCAATGGAAAAATGTTAAGGATGCAAATATTGAGAAAGGTTGGAAACACCTGATCCAGGTGCATTTCAATTCCCAGTAGGAAGGACAGGAGCTTCCCAGCACTCTCTATCACAGTCCAAGCACCTTTTGAGAATGAGGACATAGAGTCAGCAGAGAGCAGGCATGGTTTGGGCAGATAATGGGCCAAAGGCAGTGGGCAGAGTCTCAAGTGCATGAGGTAGATTTGAGGAAGGAGAAAGCATGGAGGGGGGTAGAGATACTTGTTTCAGGTTTCCATAACACAGTAGAACTCAGCATTTTTCTTTGGCCCAATTTCTTTGTTGTTCCTGCCAAGTGCTAACAGGAAAGGATAGCGTAGGGCATTGTGATAAAGAGAGTACAGAGGTTGTACAGCTCGTTTTACTGGTGCCACTGCTTGTAACAGGCCTGCAAGCAGTTCCTAGGAATGGTACAGCCTTTTGTGCTTTCCTCTTTCGCTTGCTACAACCTTTGTTTGGGAGAAGTTCATGCCACAAGATATCAGATTTCTTAATCAGAATGACCAGAAATACAGTTTTCATAATGTACTTTTATGGTGCAAGGGAAGCGAGGTTGAGCTCGTGCTCTGTTCCTGGTTCCCTTCCTGACGGTTGGTCTGTGTGCTTTGCGGTGACTGCTGTTTTGCCAGTCTGCTGTAATACTGAAATTATACCTGTTTTCTCAATCTCTCTCCCTTTCTTCCTCTTTCTCCCCCTCCCTCTTCCCCTTCCCTCTTATAGGAAAGGTAATAATTGAGCCCTGTTGTAAGGAGTAACTTCTAGCACCTCCAGGTCTCTGGGTTAGTTAAAAAATGAGATCTGACACAAATCATTGTAGGAAGGTGTAGGTCTGACTCTAGCCCATGAGATAGGCATTGCTGCTGCACACATCACTTGTACTGGTGCAGCTAAGGTGTGTATGGGTGACCAGAGAATCTCCTGCAGGAGGGAGGCCTTGATGGATCTCTGCTGAGGTGGAAAGAATTTATTGGGAACCTGTATTTCTGTTGCCGTGCCAAGAATTTTCTTACAGGACTGTTAACAATTTTGAATCAGGCCTCAGAAACAGCTAGCTTAAAATCACCATTAAGCCAGCTAACTTTATTTATTGTTTGCCTCTGGAAAGCCAGAATTCAACTAAATCATGTGTTTGAACTTCACCCTGTGATTGTGAGATGTGCTTTTAAGGCACAGGCAAGCAGAAGTTCCCATCTACCTACACAAGCCATGAACTGAGACTGTTCCTTTTAGGAAGCAAAGTTTTATTGTTGGAATAGGAGCAATCATGTGCAAATTATCATTCAGCATCTTGTAGGATACCTAGGGGAGATTATACTGTCTCTTGTTTAAATGAACTAGGCCACTTCTCTCACCGTTACCGAAAAAAGATTCCAAAATGAGGTGGACAACAGGCCTTTTCTGCTGCTCATTCTCTTCCCTCGTCTCAGTCCAGGAAGAGTTCCAGTCACTCTCAGCTGGCAAGAGTTCCCATTGCTGAACCAAGCAGGATTCCAGCTGCCCCTCTCCTTCAGCAGCTGGACACTCACCACAAGGTTTTTGCTTAGTGTTGCTGCTGACATTTAACACGTGCTCGGAAAACTGATCTGTATGTGTGGAAAAACATGTCACTTGTAGGTGAACTTAACACCGGCTTCTAAAGAAATTAACCTTGTACTTCTCCCAGGTAATTACGTGTGCCAGGAATGTGCAGTGGGAACGGCCCTGAAGCTGCAGGTAAGTGTTGCATTGAGGAACTGGATTTCTTCGTCAAAAATGTGTTACCTTAATGCCAGTGAGGCACTGGAGCCTCTGGATGTTATTTCTATGACAACTTTTCTTAAAGATTGTACTTCATAAAATGTGTCAGGAGTGCATTTTGCTTATTGCATGGAGTTTGATTTATGCCCAAAGTCCCATCTGTTGTTTTTTATTTTTTTTAACCTTAATACCTTATTTCAATCTGTTTGCCTTCTCAAATCCCCTCAGATATTCCAGAATATTAACTAGGCTCTTACAGGTTCTGTGTAAAGCAAATTCTATTATATTTGTCCTATTTTTTTAAATGTCTTTTTCTCCACTTGATGTTGAACACCCACAGAAACAAGCAAAACAAACTCACTCTGCAGGGGAGAGATGAGAAATACAGTGAAATATCCTGGGGCATAATCTAGTGTTTAGATTAGGCTCCCAGAATCTTTAGTCTTTCAACCTTCAATATTGCTTGTAACAACCGTAGTTAAAAAAACAATTTCAGTCAGTAGATTGCTCCTCTACATGTACTGCTTTACATTTTATTTAATTTTGGAATAAGACAATAACATATTTGAAGCTGCTTGAAGCACAGTAATTTTCTATAAGGTTTACTATTATTACTATTTTTTTAACAGAGCATTTTTCATATATATTGTTATGATCAGTGAGCAGTACTACTTAGACATTTTCAGTCATTAGTATAAGGAAACTCCCTAAATCTTGGATTTTTTACTAACTGTACAGTTAGTACAGGGATTTGGTCCTATCGATTTGGTTAAACCCCTTTGACTCTTGTTACTCTGCTTTTCATTTGAGGTTACCAGTTGACCAGTTTTCAGTTGACCAGTTCCCAGACTTGTTTACACCTCTGCTTTCAGCAGGTTGCAGATTTGTTTCCTCAGCTCTGTGTGTTGGATCAATCTGCCCTTGAGGGCACTTGATATACTTCCAGCCTTTGGATTGATTGTTTGTATCTACAGCACCTACCACACACCATATTTTAAGAAAGAGCCAACACCTTGCAAGGTGTTGGTAAGGGGGGATGTTTGCCATACCTAGATTTAATCCCCCAACACTGACTAGAAAGCAGCACATTTTGGTTGGACTCTGGATGGGTGCTGGGAGCCTCCAAGCCGGAGTACGTGTGTCATGGATTTGAAGAAGCCCAGCCCAAAAGGTTCCACATGAAACGGTATGAAATGCATTGCTCAGAGTTGGCCTGGACAGCATTTGGCAAAGTCTGCAGGCAGAAAGGAAAGTGATGGCTGAAAAAAAACCCAGAGCTTGAGAGGTGTGAACTAAAAGGAGAGTCTGGGGAATCTGGATCCAAGTTATTTGAGGCTGGGGTTTTGTTTTGAGGAATTTTTTTGTAATTGAAGTTTCAAAACTATTTTCAAGTTCATAATCCTGCTTTAGCTCTTTCCATTATTTCCATAAGGTGTAGGAGTAAAATCCTGTTGTAACACATTTGTTACAGTTTAAACAAATGAACGTACTAAGTACACGGTGTTTGACTAGGTCTGAGTACATGACTTTACATGTTGAGCTCTCACATCTGCTGCATGTAGAGCGATACAACTGCTGATGAGCACTACACATAAATGCTGTGCTTTATATTCTCACAGCAGCTGCGTGGAGCAGTGTCATCTTTGCAGTGTGACAATAATGTGGGAAGCACTATAATTGTCACAGGTATCTTCTGCGTTCAAAGTCGTGACTTGACTCCGTAACATGCATTATGAAAATAAATACGAATCAATACCTGTCATTTTTGGCCTCTTCAAAACAGTAACAGGAGTAAGAATGCATCCAGAATATTTTATGCCTTGGAAATATCTTTATGGCACACTGCTTCCAAGTACTTGGAAATACTGCTTCCCAATATTTCTGGGGAGGATAAATTGTCCAAGGGATAAAAGTCTGCTGCACAAATCTACTGGCTGCTGCACAGCCTCTTGTAGCCAGTTCTGATTGACCCATCCAGCTCTCCTTCAGGCCATATTACTAGTATTTACAGTACCTGTAAATAATGCATTTAAAAATAAATTTATTAATTCAGAATGTAAGAGCTTAATTCTCAACAACCTCATCAGTAGAAACACATCTGTCCTGTTCTCTTTCACCAATCTGATCTCTCATAAAAAGCTCTCAGCTCTGACAAGAGCTTTAACCTTCGAGGCTTTAGGTAGGCCAATGTCCAGGCATCCTTGAGAAGGGCCTGTGCACATCATAGGCTTGCTTTTCAGGTTTGTTGAACTTGTCAGCACACGGATGGAGCTCCTCAAGGGGGAAGTGGGGCTTTTTAGGTGAAGTAGGCTTCAGTCAGAAACAGCGAAGGAGAAAGGAAAGGGGAAAAAAAAGCCAAACCCAAGCTCAACCATGCTGAAGAACAGAGAACAATATGTAATTTGTTGTCACACCATTTGTATCATAGCAATGGTATTCAATTGCAACATGCAACTTGTAGAGCAATATTGAAAAGAATTTGGGTAAGTTCTGGTAGCTCAGAACTCACATTGCAATAAAGACAGAAAAAAGATTTATTGATTCTTTCTCAAGGGTGCTAACGTGTGTTTACCTTGCATTTAAATGCCCCAAACACATGACCTAGGGCTTGTTCCATGCATGTATTCACTGTCCTGATGTATAAATCGGGTTAAGAGGATGCCAGCAGTTCACAAGTATTTTTAAAAGATTGCAGTGAAGATGCAACTAATCTAACCTAATGGGAAAAGAGTAAACACAGCAATTAAGGGGAAAGGGGGTCAAGTCTGCCTGGATATTGCCCACGTCCCTGGTGCCATCCTTGGTAACGGCGAGCGGGTGGCAAAGCGATTGGATAAACCGCTGCGGAGCCCCGTCCTCTCCTGGAGTGCACCTAGGGCTAGGGATAATGGAGCAGAATAGGAATAATGGTCCCTTGGAACGGGACCGAGGCACGGGTGAGCCGCAGCCACCACCCCTGCCGGCGTCCAGCATTCCACGTGTCCGCGGCACCCCGGCGGGACGCGGGGACCCTCG